GCCCCCCCCCCCCCGGAGACCACATGGGATTGGCGCCTTACCAGCCACGGCCACGCCCCCTTCCATGTGATTGGCGACCAGCCAGCCACGCCCCTCACTCTCGCCACGGATATTGGCGGCTGTCCTCCCCCGCCCCCCCCAGAAGATCCGCCTGTGATTGGCGGTCACCGAGGCGCGGCCCCGCCCCTCGCCCCGGCGATTGGCGCCCGACACGGGAGAGCCCCGCCCGCGATTGGCGGACCACGAGGCGCGGCCCCGCCCCTGTGCCGGTGATTGGCGGTTGCCCCGGGATGCCACGCGCCGCCGTTTCGAAAGGCGCTCGCGCTGCCGCTGGCAGTTGGTGGAGTGAGGCCTAGTCCGGGGCGCGCCTCACACGCCGCCCTTACCTGCTGGATCAGCGCCGTGTCCGGCTCCAGCAAGTTGTTCAGGATCTTCTCCAGGAGCTCGGCCATCCTCCGCGCCGTCACTTCCCCGCTTCCTTCAGAACACTTTTATTTTCCCCCACCCCCCCTTCCTTCCCTGCACCTCCCTCCCTGCCCACACGCCGGCAACGTTGCGCTGGTGTGCGGCTGGGGGTGGGGAAAGAAAGGCTTCTCCCACGCGAGCAAGAGGCGCCGTCGCCGTGGGCCGGACCTCCGCGGCACGGAGCGCCGCCTAGCGACTGGGAGGACCAGGTCAACGCGTGGGCCGTGTTATCGGCGGCGCCGGCCCCGCCCCCCCATTGTCAGGCGTGCACCGTTGGCGCCGCCCACTGCGACGTGGCCACGCCCTCAATTATTGTGACCCCCCCAGCCCCAACAACGGCGGGTTAGCACGTGCCCCATGGGGGCGAGGTCACGCGGTTAGCGCCGCCCCTTCATCGTGGGGTGGGGAAAGGGCTAGCACCGCCCCTAAGATGTCGCAATGTAGCCACGCCCTCTCGGACAGCGATGGCACCGGCCCCTGGTGTTGGGTGGATTGCATTACCACCGCCCCCTGGTGTTGGGCGGATTGCATTAGCACCGCCCCCAGTTGGGACGACTGCATTAGCACCGCCCCCTGGTGTTGGGTGGACTGCATTAGCACAGCCCCCTGGTGTTGGGTGGACTGCATTAGCACCGCCCCCTGTTGTTGGGAGGACTGCATTAGCACCGCCCCCCGTTGCTGGGCGATGCGTGTTAGCCTTGCCCACCAGTGGTGGGTGTCTAAAATAGACCACCACCCAAATGTCAGTGCCCTCTGGAGGCGAGAAGAGAGAATCACCCCTGTGTCAGCGCCCTCTGGTGGTGGGAGGACCGGGTAGCCTTGTGTCAGCGCCCTCTGATGGTGGGAGGACCGGGTCAGCCCTGTGTCAGCGTCCGCTGGGTGTGCGTGGACTGGGTCAGCCCCGCGTCAGCGCCCCCTCTCGGCAGGAGGACCAAGGCGGCAGCCCACCGTTGCTTCTTTGGAAATCTATGCGAGAGACCAACCCCTTGTCCGCTCCTGTGGCCACTCACTGACACTGGGCAATACCGTCTGAGCTGTGTCTCTGCAAGTGCAAAGCTCTGCAGCACTGCTATTTATTATTATTTTTATGTGTTGCTTTTTGAACCCTTGTTGCTTTTTTATTCGTGAATTTCAAGCGTGTAGTACCGGAGCTGAATTTTCTTGCAAAGATGCCATCTCCAGCACTCCCTAAGAGGAGAAGGAGGGGCAGAAACTATAAAGATATGGGAACGGGAGGAGCCTGCTCTGTCATTCAATGAGATTATGGCTGATCTGGTCATGTTTGACTCCAGTGTGGCAACATGAGTGGACAAGAATTAATTCCTCTATCCTGCAGCTTTCCACAGTCTTTGCCCATTTAAATAGTATTCACCTCCTTTGTCCTTGCTGCCAAAGTGTGCAACCTCATGCTCCCCCCACGTTATATTCTGTTCTGTAACGTCCCACAGTCTTTCCCCGTTTATATAATATCCAGCCCCTCTGTCCTTTCTGTTAAAGTGCGGAACCTCACGCTCCCCCCACGTTATATTCTGTTCTGTAACGTCCTGCAGTCTTTCCCCGTTTATATCATATCCAGCCCCTCTGTCCTTCCTGCCAAAGTGTGGAACCTCACGCTCCCCCCACGTTATATTCTGTTCTGTAACGTCCCGCAGTCTTTCCCCGTTTATATAATATCCAGCCCCTCTGTCCTTCCTGCCAAAGTGTGGAACCTCACGCTCCCCCCACGTTATATTCTGTTCCGTAACGTCCCGCAGTCTTTCCCCGTTTATATAATATCCAGCCCCTCTGTCCTTCCTGCCAAAGTGCGGAACCTCACGCTCCCCCCCACGTTATATTCCTTCTGCCCAGTTTTGGCGCACTCCTTGAACCTGCTTGTATCCCTCTGCACACTCTCCCTTACCATCCTCACCGCTGGAATTTCCAACCGTTTTTACAACATCCACAAACTTGGCGGGAACGCGTTCCCTTTCCCCATCGGAGTTGCTTATAGATATTGTCAATAAATGCGGGCCCAGCACCGATCCCTGCGGCTCTGACCCCTAGTTACAGGAAATCATCCTGAAAATGACCCCCTTTACCCCAGCTCTTTGTCTGCGATGGGTCAGAGATCCCTATGGATCAAAGAATGAAAGACTCATGAGGCTGACGGGGGCTGGTTTGTGTTCTATTTTATTGGATCCACGACGGAAACTGGGAACCGTACACGGCGCTCCCAGTGGGATACGGAGAGACCGGGAACCGTACGCAGCCGCGGCTATGAGAGTGGGCAGGACTCCCTGTCGACCACGGCCACCAGAGGCTCCCCACTGGATTCATGCTCGAGCTGGCAGGAGAAGCGAGAGTGGGCATGCCAATCTTTGGCGGACATGGTCAGGTAACTGCTCCAGCTATAGCTGCCTCCAGTGCCCTGCGCCTTCCCCCCCTCCTCCTCCTCCTCCTGGGGCACGGCCTCCGTCACCAGATGGCGGCCCACCTCCTCTCCGTCCATCGTCCATCGGGCGCGCACATGGCCTGGGTAAAAGCCGTTCGCCAGGCAGGTGAGGGTCAGGTTGGAGTCCTTGCAGTTCAGCTGCTCGGCCGGCGGTGGGTACAGGTGGATGGTGGGTGGCGACAGCTGGCGACCTGCGGAGAGGTTGGAGGGGTAAGAGATGTCAGCTGGTGAGATACAGAGAGACCGGGAACTGTACGCGGCACTCCCAGTGGGATATGGAGAGACCGGGAACTGTACGCAGCGCTCCCGGTGGGATAGGGAGTGACCGGGAACTATATGCGGCGCTCCCGGTGGGATATGGAGTGAGCGGGAACTGTACGCGACGCTCCCGGTGGGATAGGGAGAGACCGGGAACTGTACGCGGCGCTTTCCATGGGATATGGAGTGACCGGGAACTGTACGCGGCACTCCCGGTGGGATACAGAGAGACCGGGAACTGTACATGGAGCTCGCGGTGGAATAGGGAGAGACCGGGAACTGTACGCAGCGCTCCCGGTGGGATAGGGAGAGACTGGGAACTGTACACTGTGCTCCTGGTGGGATAGGGGGAGACCGGGAACTGTACACGGCACTCCCGGTGGGATACAGAGAGACCGGGAACTGTACATGGAGCTCCCGGTGGGATAGGGAGAGACCGGGAACTGTACGCAGCGCTCCCGGTGGGATAGGGAGAGACCGGGAACGGTACACGGCTTTCCCGGTGGGATACGGAGAGACCAGGAACTGTACACGGTGCTCCCGGTGGGATACGGAGACCAAAAACCGTACACGGCACTCCCGGTGGGATACGGAGAGACCAGGAACCGTACACGGCGCTCCCGGTGGGATAGGGAGACTGGGAACTGTACGCGGC